TTGATAGACAGACGGATGGATGGATGGCACAGGACCCGGCAATATCTTATATTCTGTTATACATGAGTTCACCATGAATCAGAGCTGACTTGACACTTGATGTGGCAACTAACAACATATATGTATACACACACATTTATATATTTACACACACACACACACACACACACACAGATTTAAGGAATTGACTCATGCGGTCGTGGGGGCTTGGAAGTCTGAAATCTGGAGGGCAGGCCAGCAGGGTGGAATTGATATTTTAGTCTTGAGTCTGAAACTTGTAGGACAGATCGACAGGCTGGACACTCTGGCAGGATTTCTATGTTATGGTGTTAAGGGAAACCTGAGTGTTTGCTCTTAAGGCCTTCACCTGATTGAATGAGGCCCACCCACATTATCAAGGGCAATCTCCTTTACTTAAAGTCAGCTGCTGGATTGCTAAAGTTAGTCACTTCTACAAAGTACCTTCACAGCAATATCTAGACTAGTATTTGACCAAACACTTGGGCACGAGGGCCTTGCAAAGTTGACACATAAAATTAACCATCACAGAGCAGAACACAGAGAAGTTGTCCTTGATTTGAAGCTTTAAAATTTGCCTTGAAACATATGATCCAGCTCGAGTCTGTAAAGCTTTTGCTTACAGAGGCAGGTGAGTCCTCATTTTTCTTATCCAAATCATGAACTGCTAGTTCCTGGCCATCTTGTCATGCTAATTGGCTTAGCTTTTCTGTCCAGTCATTTCCTTTGGATAAATATTTTAAATGGAGGAGAGACAGGAGAGAAAAGTTTTTATTTCGTTTAAATGAGTATCTGCTGAAAGAATTAGTGATGACAGGCTATGTATAAGTTTTGTTGATGGGATTTTACCAGCACAGGGTTTTCAGTTGTCCTGGGCCTTTAGGTAGAAAATGAAGATTTTTTTGTTTCTTATATTTTATGAGCTACTGAATTATTTTTTCCCCTAAAGAACTTTAAACTTGGAAAAGGCAAGGAAAGCCTGGGGTTCTGAGTTCTAAATGTGATGCTTAGTGTTCAGAAACATTGTTTATATTGCAGAAGCTAAAAATGTCAAGGGGTTTTCAATGCGATATTAAAAAAATCCAGTCTTGGCGTTTCGTGTCTTTTTACCTGTATCCCTGTTACAGAAGTGGTATTTTTCTAGCCTAGCCTTTGAAGTTGTTTACTTTTACTCAGTTAATTGACCCTCCACAAGTTTGGAATTTTCGAGATAAGGTAATGAACTCTGGATCAGGGATCAGGAGCTAGGTTCAAAGGTGAGTTCTCCGCTAGCTGCTGCCTGTGGGGAGGCTGTGGGTGTGTCCTGGGCCCTGATGGGTTTGTTTGTCTCTAAGTGGAAGGAGGTGGACCAGATCAATGATTTTCAGCTAGAGGTGGGAGCTCCATGAGCAGGTTGGGTTCAGGATCTTGGGTGTAGGGAGCATTTGAGAACGCACAGTATTGTTTTCCTTTATTTTTGGAAAATAGAAAAAGAAAATCTTGCTTTTTTTAAACAAGTGGCGCAATGTAAAGCATGATAAAAGGATGGGAAAGGATGGGAAATACATGGGACTGGCAGCTAGTAGCAGGTAGCATTTCTTAGTGAGTACTAGATGCTGGATATTATTGAACACTATCATTAATATCACACACAAGTAAAATTTTGCTGAAGAACATTCAAAAGTGGCTGCAGCCATATATCAACAGGGAACTGCCAGAAATTCAGGCCAGATTCAGAAGGGGACGTGGAACAAGAGATATCATTGCTGATATCAGATGGATTATGGCTGAAAGCAGAAAATACCAGAAAGATGTTTACCTGTTTTATTGACTATGCAAAACCATTCGACTGTGTGGATCATAACAAATTATGGATAACATTACAAAGAATGGGAATTCCAGGACACTTAATTGTGCTCATGAAGAACCTGTACACAGATCAAGAGGCAGTTGTTCAAACAGAACAAGGGGATACTGCGGGGTTTAAAGTCAGGAAAGTTGTGCATCAGGGTTGTATCCTTTCACCATACCTGTTCAATCTGCATGCTGAGCAAATAATCCAAGAAGCTGGACTATATGAAGATGAACAGGGCATCAGGATTGGAGGAAGACTCATTAACAACCTGCATTATGTAGAAGACATGACCTTACTTGCTGAAAATGAAGAGGACTTGAAACACTTACTGATGAAGATCAAAGACCACAGCCTTCAGTATGGATTACACCTCAACATAAAAGAAAACAAGAATCCTCACAACTGGACCAGTAAGCAACATCATGATAAACGGAGAAAAGGTGGACGTTGTCAAGGATTTCATTTTACTTGGATCCACAATCAACACCTGTGGAAGCAGTAGTCAAGAAATCAAAAGACGCTTTGCATTGGGCAAATCTGCTGCAAAAGACCTCTTTAAAGTATTGAAAAGCAAAGATGTCACCTTGAAGACTAAGGTGTGCCTGACCCAAGCCATGGTGTTTTCAATCACCTCATATGCATATGAGGGCTGGATGAAGAATAAGGAAGACGGAAGAAGAATCGATGCCTTTGAATTATGGCGTTGGCGAAGAATATTGAATATAACATGGACTGCCAAAAGAACAAATAAATATGTCTTGGAAGAAGTACAATCAGAATGCTTCTTAGAAGCAAGGATGGCAAGACTACGTCTCACATACTTTGGACAAGTTATCAGGAGGGATCAATCCCTGGAGAAGGACATTATGCTTGGTAAAGTAGAGGGTCAGTGAAAAAGAGGAAGACCTTCAATGAGATGGACTGACACAGTGGCTGCAACAATGGGCTCAAGCACAACAACGATTGTGAGGATGGTGCAGGACTGGGCAGTGTTTCATTCTGTTGTGCATAGGGTTGCTGTGAGTCAGAACCAACTCAACGGCACCTAACAACAACAACAGCGGCAGCTATATGTGAGAGTCCCTGGTGGCACAAACAGTTAAGCACTCGACTACTAGCTGAAAGGTTGTCAGTTCAAACGCACCCAGAGGAGCCTCAGAAGATAGGCCTGGCAATCTGCTTCAGAAAGTTCACAGCCTTGAAAATCCCATGGAGCAGTTCTCCTCTGCACACATGGGGTCGCCATGAGTTGGAATTGACTAGATGGCAACTAACAACAACAATAACAGCTACATGCTGGACAGTGATCTAAACTTCTGATGTACATATGCTCTCAGTGAAACCTCACTACTGTTATCAAACGAGGAAACAGCAGAAAGTTAAGTATCATGCTCAAGGTCATCACAGCCAGTGTGTAGGTTATTCTGTGATCCAAACCCAATCTGACCTGCAGTCTCAGCTGCTGTGTTTCTACCTCAGCATTCATAGTCAGATATGAATCAAGATCAATTTTATCTACATTTTACTTTCCAAAAAAAAGTTTTACAGTATGTGTAACTGGTTTGAAATTGTCCCTCAATCTTCAGGTGAAAAAAAAAAAAAAAAAAAAAAATCAAATTTTTTTTGTCTAAATCCAATTAAATTTGCCTCGAAGTTCCACTTACACAGATTAATAAGGTATTCAATATCAGTAGTCACTGGAGGATTCCCTCTCCACTCATACAATTTGGCCGGAAAATTTTGAGGGCCCCTAATCCTTACTTCTTCATGGTGGTGCCAAGATGCTCATTGGTGAAGCGTGCATTACCCATTTGAAGTTGGCAAATCACTGTGTTTATTCCCTTCATGCTCAGTTGTCTGCCATGATCTCCCCTGGGACTCCTGAGGCCATCCATGGCTTTTAGGTGTTAGTCCCAAGGCATCCACGTATCCACTCTTGTCAAAGGATCCCTACCCAGCCCGTCATCCTCAATTAGGAAGCTGCATGGACATAGCCTGGCATAGATACAGACACAGGGTGGTATATGGACACCGGGCTTCCAGAGGCAAAGGGAAATATACCTTTGATTATTTAATTATAAGCATACAGCAAATTAGATAGTTAATTTGTCTATCAAATTATTCTGCTGCCTGTAAATGATAGCAAGATTTAATATGACTAACTATAAACAATTTTATTAGTGTCTGTCTTAGTTATCTAGTGCTGCTTTAACAGAAATATACAAGTGGATGGCTTTAACAAAGAGAAACTTATTCTCTGACAGTTTAGGTGCTAGAAGTCCGAATTCAGGGTGCCAGCTCCAGGGGAAGGCTTTCTCTCTCTCCGGCTCTGGGGGAAGGTCCTTGTCATCAGTCTTCCCCCGGTCTAGGAGCTTCTCAGCACAGGAACCCTGGGTCCAAAGGATGTGCTTTGCTGCTGGTGCTACTTTCTTGGTGGTATGAGTTCTAGTCTCTTTGCCAGTTTCTCTCTTTTATATCTCCAAAGAGATTGACTCAAAATACAACTTAATCTTGTAGATTGAGTCCTGCCTCATTAACATGACTGCCTCTAATCCTGCCTCATTAACATCATAAAGGCAGGATTTATGTCACATAGAAAAATCATATCAGATGACAATCACAATACTGGGAATCATGGCTAGCCAAGTTGACACACATTTTTGGGGACACAATTCAATCCACAGCAGTGTCCAATTTGTATTTCTCTCTTCAGTGAAAGCATCTAGTTGTCTTAACTGGGATCCCCTCAATTGATTACTTGTACTAACTTTGTGACCTTGGGTAAATTAATTGAGTCCTTTAACCCTAAATTTCATCTTTTATTAAAAAAAGGGTTTAACAATAGTTCCTGTCCCATAGGGGATCATGGGGGATCAGCTTTAACAAAGACATTGAATCACAGAAAGTAAGAGGTGCATGTGGGGAATGGCAATGAGACCAGCCAAGTTGGAGGTGGGTGGGGGGATATGGGGAGAGGGGTTTATGGTGGGGTCAAGGCTGGAAGTGTTGTGTAAATGTTACCTTATAGAGTTTGGACTCATATTGGCCTTTTTTTTTTTTTCCTGGTTGTTTTATTAACTGGAGTTTGTGTTCTGCCTCAGAGATGTACTAAAAGCCCTCTGATAAACTCCTGTTTTGGCCTATTTAGGACCCGACAGACTTCGAGTGGAGCTTCTGGATGGAATGGGGGAAGCAGCGACTGGTATGGCTTCTCCTTGGTCATGTGGCAGTGTCTCAAATGGCCATGCTGTTTGCAAGGAAGGTGAGATGACATGTATCATTTCCTTCTGAGCCTCTTTCTCCTTTGCTTTTTGTGAAGCAAGAATCCTGAGCGAGGAATCAGGGAGCGGGAGTACTAACTTGGGAAGCCTGGAAAAGATGAGAAAAAAATTAGAGACTGTCTTGGTTCCCTGGCGCTGCCAAACAAAATGCCAGAAAGTGGGAGGCATTAAAGAATAGAAATGTATTGTCTTACAGTTCTGGAGGCTAGGAGTCAGGACGTTGGCAAGGCCATACTTTCTCTGTCCCCTCTAAGGGGTGATCCTTCCTTGTCTGTTTCAGCTGCTGGGAGCTCCATGTGTCTCTTGGCATTCCTTGCGTGTAGATGCATCTCCACATGGCATCTCCCCCATGTGTCTCTGTCACTGTGTCTGTTCTCCCCTTTTATGAGACACCACTCAGGAGGGATTAGGACCCATCCTACTCCTATATGACGTCGTTAACTGGTAATTTTTTTTTTTCATTTTTTCCCATACAAAAATTTATACATACATTGTTATGTGACCCTAATTGCTCTCCCCATACTGTGACAGCACACTCCTCCTTTCCACCCCTGACTCCCCATGACCATTCAACCAGCTCCTAACTCTCTCTGCCTTCCCATCTCACCTCTGGACAGAAGCTGCCCGTTTAGTCTATTGTATCTAATTGAGCTAAGAGGCACACTCCTCATGAGTATCACTTTATGTCCCACAGTCCAGTCCAATCCCTGTCTGAAGAGTTGGCCTCGGAAATTGTTTTAGTTCTAGGCTGATAGAGAATCCGGGGGCCATGCTTTCCAGGGTTCCTCCAGTCTCAGTCAGACCATTAAGTCTGGTCTTCTTACTAGAATTTGAGTTCTGCACCCTACCTTTCTCCTGCTCCATCCAGGACTCTGTTGTGTTCCCTGTCAGGGTGGTCATTGGTGGTAGCTGGGCACCATCTAGTTGTTCTGGTCTCAGGCTGATGAAGTCTCTTGTTTATGTGGCCCTTTCTGTCTCTTGGGCTAATACTTTCCTTGTATCTTTGGTGTTCTTCGTTCTCCTTTACTCCAGGTGGTTGGACCAATTGATGCATCTTAGATGGCCGCTTGCAAGCTTTTAAGACCCCAGATGCCACTCACCAAAGTAGGATGCAGAACATTTTCTTAATAAGCTTTGTTATGCCAATTGACCTAGATGGCCCCTGAAAGCATGGTCCCCAGACCCCTACCCCTGCTACTCCATCCCTCAAAGTGTTTTACTGTATTCAGGAAACTTTTTAGCTTTGGTTTAGTCTAGTTGTGCTGACTTCCCCTGTAGTTTGTGCTGTCCTTCCCTTCACCTAAGATAATTCTTACCTACTATCTAGTTAGTAAATAACCCTCACCCACTCTCCCTCACCCTCGTAACCATCAAAGAATGTTTTCTTCTGTGTTTAAACCTTTTCTTGAGTTCTTATAATAGTGGTCTTACACAATATTTGACCATCTGTGACTGACTGAATTCACTCAGCATAATGCCCTCCAGATTCCTCCATGTTATGTTTCACGACTTCGTCGTTGTTCTTTCTCGTTGCGTAGTATTCCATTGTGTGGATATACCATAGTCTGTTTATCCATTCATCTGTTGATGGGCACCGGTTGTTTCCTTCTTTCTGCTATAGTGAACTGTGCTGCAGTGAACATGGGTGTGCATATATCTATTCATGTGATGGCTCTTATTTCTCTAGGATCTATTGCAAGGGGCAGGATAGCTGGATGGTATGGTACTTCTATTTCTAGCTTTTTCAAGAAGCGTCAAATCGATTTCCAAAGTGGTTGTACCATTTTACGTTCCCACCAACAGTGTATAAGTGTTCCAGTGTCTCCACAACCTCTCCAGCATTTGTTATTTTGTGTTTTTTGGATTAATGCTAGCCTTGTTGGGGTGAGAGGTTATCTCATTGTAGTTTTGATTTGCGTTTCTCTAATCGCTAATGATCATGAGCATTTCTTCATGTGTCTGTTAGCCGCCTGAATATCTTCTTTGGCGAAGTGCCTGTTCATATCCTTTGCCCACTTTTTAATAGGGTTATTTGTCTTTTTGTTGTTGAGGTTTTTCAGTATCTTGTAGATTTTAGAGATTAGACACTGATCAGATTTGTCGTAGTCAAAAATTTTTTCCCAGTCTGTAGGTTGTCTTTGGACTCTTGGTGAAGTCTTTTGATGAGCATAAGTGTTTGATTTTTAGGATCTCCCAGTTATCTAGTCTGTCTTCTGGTGCTTGTGCATTGTTATTTATGGTTCGTATTGTGTTTATGCCATGTATTAGGGCTTCTAGCATTGTCCCTATTTTTTCTTCCATGATCTTTATTTATCGTTTTCGATTTTATATTTAAGTCTTTGATCCATTTTGAGTTATTAACTGGTAACATCTTTAAAGGCCCTATTTCAAACAAGAGCACATTTATAGGTATGGAGGTTAGGACTTCAGCATATCTTTTGGAGGACACAATTCGATCCATAATAATGACCAGTAAGACATTTAAGATAAAGGTTTCATCGTTCTTCTACTGCATTTACTTCCTTCAAATTATTCTTCAACTTCAGTATGAAGGTTCTGGAGTAAGAGCAACTCCAGATGGTATTCTTTAAGATCATTTCTAATCAAACAGTCCTATAAAAAAATCGTCTGTTGTTGAGAATCTATGTGATTTCACTTAAGGATCGGAAGAAAGATTTCATTAAGAAGTGGGAAGAAGTTTACAGTCAGATGGTTTATGTTGCTGTAGCTGTTTGGATTAGAGTCCAGTAGCATTTTGCCGTTGTGTTGGTGTTTCAGAGGACAGGGCCTGAACGGTGCTTTCACGTGAGGCCGAGTGGAGACCCTCTCCGCATGTCTGACTACCGAGGGGCCTGCCAGGAGGATCTTGTCTTCTGGCCTTTTGCCCAGTGTCCTCTGACATGTGCTTCTTGTCGGCAATAAATTCCTAATATGAAAGACATGAGCCTGTGCTTGGAAACCTACCAAGTAAAACCAAAAAATGACTTGGAAATAAACCTAGGAAAAATGTGTGATTCTCCGAGGTTCACGGAGGTAAAACTAAGGGACAGAAGAAAGAAGCCTCTGAAAGGGAGAGCCCAGGAAGGGAGATGAGAAAACAGGCTCCACGTGGCTCGGGAGGGGCTCCCAGCTGGCCTGTTGTTCAGCTCTTTCCTGAAAGTCCTACTTTCTCAGCTTGCGTCTCGCCCTGGAAGACAGGCAGTCCCAACAGCACAATAGCTCTCTTTGATTTAACTGTGATAGTAATTACTTTTTTTGGTGCTCACGTGGTTCCTTTTATTTTTTAAGGTGGAAAACTAAAAAGTATTAGCTTCTGTAAGATTTGAATGTATTTAAAATTTTCATATAGCTTTCTGAGCAGTCCTAATAATAAATAATACTTTTTTATGTGTTTCTAAACTAGTATACATCTACCTCAGCCCCCATTAGTGAGTTTCTTCTCTTCCACAAATTTCTGTTGAGTTTTTTTAATAAACTTTGAGATTTGTAGAAATTTAACATTTTTATTTCTAACCCAGAGTTTCTCTGATTATGAGTAAATGACTCGCTATCCGTGTCTCAGTTTTTCCATCTGTAAAATGAATAGGTTAGTACCTGTCTTTACTTTGAGGATGGCCGCGAGGCACATCAAATCTTGCTACTGCTGCCGTGGTCGAGGACCGAGTGCGGTGTAGTGTAAAAGTGTTAGACGTGGTATTAGTCATATTTGATTCTTCGCTTTGTCGTTAGCACTCGAACCTTAGGAAAGCTTTTTACCACTAAGTCTTCATTCCTAATCTTCTGTAAAATAGGATTGATATGACAGTGTTATTCTCAATGCCCCCCCCCCCCAATATGGTGAGCTTCATTTAAAAGTAGAGCTGAGACATGGAAAAAGTGGGGCAAAAGGAAAGCACAACAATGATAGGAATAAATCCAAATTCAAATACATCAGTGATCACAATCAGTGTAAACAGACTCCGTCCTCCAAAAAAATAAGATAAATATTGTCAGACTGGATTAAAAAAACAAATAAAAGCAAACAAAAAAAGAGAATGTAGAGATGTGCTTCTTAGCTTAATACAGAAGAACACAAAAAATTTGAAAGTAAACAGGTAGGAAACATATTTCAGATAAATATTACCCCCCCCAAAGAAAATACTAATTTAGAGTTATTAATACAGGTTTTCTTTGCTATTTGAAAGTAGAGTGTTCCTATGAAGCCTTTTTTAAGTGGAAATAGCATAAAGTGAAGAAGCAATTACCATTAATTTATATGGGAAAAAATTTTGAACGTTCCCAGACCCAAAAAATAACCTACCAAATCATCAAATAATGCACAAAAGCTCAAATAACACCAGTGTGTAGTAAACGCAGGGATGATATAATAAATACACAGCCTATATAAAGGAGAAATAATGTATGCACAGTGTAGTTTCACTCACCAGAATCGAGAAGACAGTGAGCATGCTGGAAGGCTGAGGGGGTGGTGGTGGTAGCCCCAGTAGCCTCACCGGCAGTGGCACATGGGGCTGGGTTGAAGGTCTGGGGTTTGAATCCCACAGAAGAGCGGGATTTATATTAACTGTGCGTGCCAAGGGATGAGTCCTACAGTTAGGGAAATGCACAGGGGACAAGTCCAGGATGGGATCTTGCCACGCATGGTGTGTTTATATGCCCCAGGCCTTTGATTGTTCACTTAGTGCAAAGCTGTGGTGGCTTGATGCTGAGATGCTAAGTGTAGTTCTCAGGAAAGGAGCTCCGATGCTCCGGGTGCGCGCAAACCAAGCGCTGACCGCTATTTCCGCTTTTTGCCTTTTTCATAGAAGCGAAAATCCTCTTTGTATTTCTTTCCTTGTAGCAGAAACAGGTACTAATGTAAGTCTTTCATAAAAGTGAAGTGGTGTAAAGCAAACTTTTGAAAAGTGGGGGATACCTGTAGTTCAAAAAGTGTGAGTGATGAAAAGGATTATGGTTTAATAATAAAATAAACACATTTGAT